TATATATATATACACGCACAAACACAAAGACAAATGCCAATACTCGTATACAAAGAAAAAACCCACACGCATTCACATACGAACACATAATCTCACCTCCACTCAGCCCCCTCCCCATACCCACCCCCCTTCCACAAATGACTTTAATCAAAGATGACGGCCTCAGAAGTATGGATTTCCTGCTAGACAGGAGGTTGTAATATGCAGCTTGGTGTCTGACATGAAATATATTTCTGGGATCATTTACATAATAACTGGTTCAGCTTTAGATTGATTGTTAATGCTTTACGCTATAGTCGACTGCATTTAGGACATTTAGGAAGCGGGCTGCTCTTTGCCCTGTCAGTCAAGGCTGAGTGGTATACGACGTCCAAACAGTACAATACAGTAAGACTCAATAAAATACACTCCTCCACCCCTTCGTTTGAACTCACGTCTTTGACGTGCAACGGTGAAGAGGTCAACCATTACGGGGTGCTCACTACGGGTTACACCACAGGCGGAAGTGTCAGCTTCAGTAAGCAGGCAAAACTACACGATGATAATTAATTATTAAAAGACACTTCTTCCTGTTTCTAATGTTAAAGTTCATGTCAAGTCTCATAGAGGAAGGTTGCCGTGCCCATAACAAAAAAAAGGAGAAAATGACCCAATCATAGCATAGATTTTTTTCAACTGGTCATCGTGTCTCCAAGTGACTTGTCATTGCAGTTTCAATTTTTATTTACTTTTCTGTTCTGCTGTCTACAATTATAACAATAAATATCTACTGTGTCTAATCCACGAAAAAAAGGTGTACAACTTGTATTATCCTTTTGTAGAAACTGTATTTAACAACAAGTAACTTTTATATGTAATATTGAGGGTGGCGCTCATATGACCTTATGTAGTTTCGAGCGCCGTAAAACCTCTACTAAAACAAACCTATAATATTGATGTGTGTGTCATTTATGACTCATCTGTTCTCACAGAAGTCTCTTGTAACTTAAACATCTGTAAGCTTTATGTGTTGAGGACTAATGTTCTAAAACACTGCATAAATATGTACCAACCTAATCTGCTGTCTCATCTCTTTCCTAGTGCGGACCTTAACTTGTCTGTTTTTTCAATCCCACTATCTGCTCCTCAAAGCGGGAAATAGGTCAGATCTTGAATATTTTATGCGGTAGGTCACCGTCAAACCAGTTGGCGCCTTCATGGGATTATGTTTGTTCAGTCTCCCGGGAAAACTGACATATTCTTAATCTCACTGATACCATTGTGCCAGCAAGGCGAGGGTGTATCGTTTTCGGACTATGTTGTCTTGTCAGCTCCGTATCCCTTTCCCTTTCTCTCCCGTTCTCTCTCTCTCTCTCT